AATTTCTGCTCTGCCTCTCCTATGGGGACAAAGAGTGGGTTATCCTACTCACATTCCTGGGGGGGTCATAAAACCAGTGATATCATGATTAGTTGTCATGGTGACCAGGGGGCCTGGTGTTTGCAGAAATCCTGGCATCCAGTTTATTGAGTGAGGGGACTGTGACGATTTGTTAATCTAATGAATAATTGATTTGTTAAATCAAATAAAAATTAGTGTGTCAGATTGGTCGAGATGCTACATATATATATATATATATATATATATATATATACTATTAAATGTCAAAATAATTATTTACCAGCCCTGTGTGTGCAAAGGCACAGTATGTCAAAGTCCGTTCACCTGACAGCCATCTTGAACCCCCACCCCAAGTACAAGTTGAATATATTTATAACTTGAGCATTCATGAGTTTATTATCCTTTACTATATTTCATATAGAGTTTAATGAACATAACTTAACATAAATTGTCACTTCCTGAAGACATTAAAAACCTGTTTAATTATTCAAAATTTAAAAAATCTAGTTAAAGAAAAGAAAAACTATATATAGGTATTACATAAATATATATTAGACAATTTTTTTTCTAATGAATTGCCATTGTTGTTGTTTAACATGCAAAAATTGGCAACGTTCCTTCAAACTACATTTAAAAATATGTACCATTCAAAAGTTTGGGTTTAGTATGCTTTTTTAAATAAATTTAGCAGGGATGCATTAAGCTGATCAAAACTGACAGTAAAAGTGATTTTTAAAGGATCATGTGACACAGAAGACTAGACTAATGGCTGCTGAAAATTCAACTTAGCCACTGACAGGAATAAATTAAATTTTTTATATATATATCTATATATATATTGAGATAGAAAACAGTTATTTGAAATTCTAACAATATTTCACAATATTGCTTTATTCAAATAAAATTCAGCTTGAGCATAAGAGACTTCTTTTGAAAAACATTACCAACCTCAAACTTTTGAGTGGAATTGTGATCATATAAAATTTATATGATTTCCATTTTTAAATATTGACAGTTCGATATGTTAAGTCAGAAATGATGGATACATGAAAATGCACAGCAGGAATGACCCTTCGGCCCCACATACACACACACATAGCAACCAGTGCTGCCGTGAGAGACAGCATCACACCACACACACACACACACGCCACAGCAGACATCAGCCGCTGAAGCCCAGGCTATGCTACAGAAGCGGCTGACTCAGACAAGAGCGCTCTCCCTGGTAATTACAAAATACCTCCTGGCACAGATATCAAGACACGCTTCTTTGTCCTGTTGAATTGAACGGCAGAGTAGCAGCGTATCAGCAGCCATTATTGTCTGAAATGGATGGGGGTAATCACTCCGGCTCCTCTGAGTTCTGCAGGGGTAATGAATTGCCACGCTGTGTCTCTTGGACAAGAGCCACACCGAGAATCACTTGCACCCAGGCCATTGTTCTGCCAGGATATAATAAGAATTTTCAGTATGACAAATACAGTATATAGAGAGAAGATGAAGTGGCTGGGAGAAGAATTAGGAGAATTTCTATAGCTCTGCACAATAGTATTGAACCTAGATGACGAAGGGCTACAACATACTTTTGTTTTGAGCTCAACAATTGGCCTCAGCAGCTTTTTAAATTAATTGAAACAAAAAGAGGCAAAACAAATGTTCAAGCATTTTCCCATATTTTCAGGACTGGAGTGGACCAAGTAATTTTAAAGTGATAGTTCACGCAAAAAATAAATTGACTTACCTGCACCTTGTTCCAGACTTGACTTTCTTTCTTCTGTGGAACACATTTGGTCACTTATTATGAAAGTCAGTGAGATCCAATATTGTTTCAGACCCCTTTGATTATTTCATTTATATTGCAAATAACTATCCTTTTAACCATTACTATTTAAAAATCCATATTGTTGCAGTGTTATTTTGGTAACATTGATGCACCATTATAATTTTTGTTATTATTTTGAATTAGATTTTATTTTTAGATTTTTATTTTTAATGTTAGTTACATTTTAATAATTTTTATTAAATGTCTAAAACTTCCTCTGTTGTGTGGTGTCATTAAGATTATTTAACTGCTCCCGATCGAGATGGAGTGTCCCGAACTCAAATCGTAAATATCAAACATGACTCTTGATCTGGCTGCCTCTGACGTCCTTAACAATAATAACTTTGATAGGTTGACTACTAAATATTTTAATATTGAGGGGGCGACGTGTCCCTCTCAACATCTATAAAGTGGTTCCTGTCCCGATTGTATCACAAAATTCACCTCAAATGGATTTGATTCAAAACTCGACACAGTAAACTAGGTTTCAGTGGCACTGATCTATAATCATAAGTCATCAGTTGCCGCTGTAATTTACGTTACGAGTGCTCTTTGCTTCTTAGCTTATGGCTGATTTGAATGCACAAAGGGGATAATGTGGAACTGACGTGGCCATTTCACCTTTTGTGTGTGTGGTCCATACTTGGGGTGAGACATATAATTTAGCACTGGGAAATATAAGTCAGTGCCATGGAAACATGATGCCACATCCTTGAAAAGCTTTCAAACTTGATTGTTATTCCTCTCGAAAACTGCTTCTCAAGTGTTTCCTCACAGCATTTCTTGAGGAATTTAGTTCTGTTCTGTGTCGTGCTGTCATTTCCTGTCATTGTTGGTTTTGAAGGACTTCTGCAAATCGCCTCCTAATCAGGGTAATTGATTTTTATGAGCAGAGCCCTTCCCAGCAGGCTGCTGGCTTTACAGCCCCCCTCGGGTATAAAAGGTAGGCGCTCCAGCGGAAAGGTTAACAGCCACTGCAGCAAGAGGAGAGCGGCTTTGCACTATACTTTTCTCTTTTCTGTCCACAGGCTAATGCATAATGGAGCCACCTTGACCCCATAAAGCACCCAGGGCTCTCTGTCCCCTCAGAAGCGCACTTCGACCTGTCACTCTTGATCTACAGTTTAATTCGATGCCGGAGCATGCAATTTCTGCCACACCGTTACAGGTTGTGTTGCTCTACCACAAGAAAGGCCAATGGAAGCATGCATAAATATCCGGCTGAAACATCAAGCATGCCCTTGTCAGTTTGAGCTTGGGTGGCAATAGCCAAACAGATGCAGGGTGTCCAATCATGTCCGATATTGATAAACAGAGCATGGATTTTGACATCTGACCCAGCAGTGACATTAAACTATTTAGCAGTATTAGAGCATCTCTGCAGGCACTTTAATTATCATGCTGGGTAGAAACAGGAAAAATAGGCAAATATTAAAATGAGAATAGCCTAAGGCTTGGCCGCCATGGCTCATGATGCTGTGCAATTAGTCTTTTGTTTGATGTAGCAGAATTCTGGTAATAAAAAATCTTCCCAATTGAAGTTTCCGTTTAGCTGTTGTTGTTGTTTTGTTTTTTTGCAAACCGCCTGAAAGCATCATCTGTAATGCAAGATCAAGATGTAAAATACAACTTTATGAATCCCACACTCTAAAAAATGCTGGGTTAAATATAACCCAGCGCTGGGTTAAAAAGGGACAAACCCAGCTATTGGGTTGTCTTGACCCAGCTATTGGGTTGTCTTGACCCAGCTATTGGGTTGTCTTGACCCAGCTATTGGGTTGTCTTGACCCAGCTATTGGGTTGTTTTGACCCAGCTATTGGGTTGTCTTGACCCAGCTATTGGGTTGTCTTGACCCAGCTGATTGACCCAACCGCTGGGTCAAAACAACCCAATAGATTGGGGTTGTCCCTTTTTAACCCAGCGCTGGGTTATATTTAACCCAGCATTTTTTAGAGTGCAAGAAGGAAATGTATCATATTAAAGCCTAGATGGTTATTTCCTCTGACAAGATGATTGAGAATCAAATATTCATAATGAGAGACTTGTGTTACTTCATAAAAGCAGACGTGTCAATTTGAAAAAGTTTGCAACTGAGTGTATTGAAAACACAATGCCTTTTCTTTTTGAAATGAAGATTCCAAATTCATTAAATATTAAGCATTGTTTGAATTGTTCCTTCTCTTTATTGTCCTGGTTTAAATGTGTCATGCAGTGGTCACTAAGCCCATGGGAAATTAAAGGGGACAGTTATAGTAGAACCAATTCATTCAACCCATATTTTTAGACTAGTATTCCCATGGGACAGTGAGTTAGGCCACTGCTTGTCATTTAGGAGTAGGCTATTTGAGGTAATGAGGTACAAGACAGATCCCGGTTTTGTAATTTGAGATGGAACGAACTATTTATTAGTCTATTAATGAGATACATTAATTTGGGGTTCTTTTCAGTTATAAAAGGAACAATGTAAATGTTACTTTACTGTCGGTTCTACCATACAATGTGTTCAGTAGAAACAGTCAATAAATTCAGTACATGAGTACAATTCAGAGTAAAAGCATAGGCTAGTTTCCTAAAAAAAAAAAATTCAAAATAGATTTAGTATATTTTTTGAAAATATGTTTATACAATTTAAGCATGCCACTGCTTGAATATTCATAGCATCTACCCAAAGGCAATAAATACCATATAGCTTATTTATAGAAATGTATTTCTATCAGTGTAATACAGTATTACACTGAAGTAGCCTAGCTGTTTAAAAAATGATGAAAAATTGAAGCAGCTTAAAAACAGGCATCATACACAGTAGAGCGATAAAAATATAAAACAGAAAGATCTCGCAGTCAGATCTTTAGTCATTATTTTCACGCATTATCCGCAGTTTCCATTCTAACCCTAAGAGTTAAAGGCTCCTGCGCGCTCTTCTTGAGCCAAAATGGCGCCTATGACTAATTAGCTGTCTAACGTATAGCCAGTAAAAACATTGCATTATGTTGTTGTCTTTAATCACATTCCTGACATTTCTAAACCAATATCGTATTATATTTGATAAATACTGATGTTAATGTGGCACTTATAATATTATATATGATTTTGCTTATATTTAAAGCTATATTTCTGGAACGGCACAAAGAGCAGATCCTACACATGAACCGAGGGATGGACCCCTCATACCGTCCAAACATGGCAACTCACGAAGCGGATTCAAAAGCCGGTGCTGGTATGATTGCTCACATTATTCTCAGCATAATTCTGTCGCATTGCTTTTATTGCAGTGATAGTGTGCATGAATAGGCCACGCCACTCAATGCATTTTGCAACTGGGTCGAAGCAAATGTATGTGATTAGTCATCCTTGCACAGTTATAAGGACTGCCATTGCGCTACATAGATAAGTGAGCTCATTTAAACGCTGAATTCTTCTTCTTTTTAGATTATTTTCTGGTTATTGTGTTCTAAGACTTGAATTCAGTCGCATCTCATTCACATAACCTGTTACAATCGAATTGCAATCCTTCGCATTATGATTATATAAGTCATATGATACTACTTGGATTTACTTAGTGCATTTAAATTGGGCCAGAGTGCCAGTTAGATGCCATAATGATTTCATTCATCCTCGTAAAATATGCTTTCAAAGAAGTTGTTAATGCAGGAAGTTAACGAGAACCCGGAACTGCTGCTCGATGAGAACGCTGATTGGATGAGGCTAATCTCAATGTCCACGATGAGTGCTCTGATTGGCTGAGAGTCAGGTCGCGCGGCGCTCTTCAAGCTGTCAAATGAAGTGAAATACAATGCACAAACATATGGAGGCTTTGTCTGTTTACCTTTGTGATATATGTTTACGCGTTTTATGATTATTCTTTGCAAGTCTTTTATGTCAGTATATTCCAATTTGATGTGTTAAATGTAGTTAAAAGAGGACAGTTTCAACGTTTGTTTCACTCTCTTTTTGAAATGTTTAATACATCTACGGTTTAACCACTTCAGCTTTTGGAGCATTAGTAGAGTACCATTACCAGTGAGTCCCCTCCTCAAACAGAGACTAAACGGTTTCATTTTCTCAGGCTTTTGTGGGAAAATGTGGATGTTGTGTGCTGCACTGCTGGCTCTGGGCTCTGTCCACTCTGTCAATGGGGACTCAAAAGCTGTCACAACAACACTGACCACTAAATGGCCCTCTACACCACTTCTGCTGGAGGCCAGGTTAGCTTGAACACAGGCGACAGCTTATTTAATTATTTTATGCTAGTTTACTAATACTAAAATATGCCTTTATATTCTACAGTGAGTTCCTTGCTGAAGAGAGTCAAGACAAGTTCTGGGACTTCGTGGAAGCCACTCAAAATATTGAAAATGATCATGATGGTAATATTTGTTATGAATCCTGTCTTTTACTTTCATTTTTTAGACATGCCGAGGCTTGTCATCCTGTTTGTCTATTTTTTTTTATGACGCTGTTACCCTTTGAAATCTTGTATTTAAAGGATGCAACAGTGCTGTTGTGCTAAATGTCATATATTAAAACATTGTATACTTATATGCTGCAGTATGCTATGCAAAAAATTGATGTCAAGTTACTTGCGGTTAATGAAAATAGTTTTTTGCAATTGTGTCGATGCTCTCGACATGCTGTTGGCCAATCAGATTACCAAACTGTTGTCCATATTTCAGACACGGATCAGGCTTACTACGATCTGATCCTGAAGAGAGCCAGTGTGCTGCTGAGCCCAGTGCAGCTAAACCTGCTGAAGTTCGCCTTATCTCTGAGGGCCTACTCATCCACCGTCCATTCCTTCCAGCAGGTGAGTAGGGCCTCTCCACAGCTGTTTAATGTAAACTCAAAGTGAATCTCAAGAAAACATGTTTGACTCAGTTTGTTGGACTGTTTGTTTATGTAGATTGCATCTAATGAGCCTCCTCCACCTGGCTGTGAAGCGTTCTTTAACGTACATGGACAGACATCTTGTGATGCAGAAAGACTTAAAGTCATGCTGGATGACGCCTTAGAACGGTGAGTAACAGCAAGACCTGCTGTGACCCCCCCCCATCTAACATTACTAGATGATTACCCACAATTTTTTTTATGTATTTATATATTCCCAATGGTCCCATATTTTCATCCACCGTCCATTCCTTCCAGCAGGTGAGTAGGGCCTCTCCACAGCTGTTTAATGTAAACTCAAAGTGAATCTCAAGAAAACATGTTTGACTCAGTTTGTTGGACTGTTTGTTTATGTAGATTGCATCTAATGAGCCTCCTCCACCTGGCTGTGAAGCGTTCTTTAACGTACATGGACAGACATCTTGTGATGCAGAAAGACTTAAAGTCATGCTGGATGACGCCTTAGAACGGTGAGTAACAGCAAGACCTGCTGTGACCCCCCCCATCTAACATTACTAAATGATTACCCACAATTTTTTTTATGTATTTACATATTCCCAATGGTCCCATATTTAAAAAAAAAAAAAAAAGTAAAAATACCAGTTCTGTCACCAGTGAGTAAGCCTGGTAAAGTTACTCACAAAATCAATTTTTAAATGAGCCCACTCTCTTGGGTATGCTTGAAAATGTTGCTAATCAGGACTCAAACAGAAAGTAAATAAGGCACTTTTTACACACAAGCATAAAAATAATTTACCACTGTAAAATTTAGCAATTTAGAATTTTACATGTCTAGACTAGCATCGAAATATACATATTTAAGCTACATAAAATATTTTTACTGTTATAAATTATTTTGTCTCATGTCTGGGCTATTTAAATAGTGAGGGTAAAAAGTACATTAAAACACTTAAAACCTACACTTTCCCATATATAAATACATTTAAATTAAAGTATTGATGTTGTTCAGTGTCAACTAACCTAAACACAACCAAACCTTTTGTTTAATATAATAGATTTGTTAATATATATATAAATAAATCTGCATAAATGTCAACAATTCTGTGTTTTTCTGTCAATATGGGGTGCTGTGTGTACATTAATGAGGAAAAAAAATTAACTTAAATGATTTTAGCAAATGGCTGCAATATAACAAAGAGTGAAAAATTTAAGGGGGTCTGAATACTTTCCGTACCCACTGTATATATATGTATGTATATGTGTTTGTGTGTTTGCATTTTAAATATTTTTGTATTTATTTATTTTCAGGCCCAAGCCATACCTGTTCAAAGGTGATCACAAATTCCCCTCAGCCAATCCCGATGCACCCGTTGTGATTCTTTATGCTGAGCTGGGCACCAAAGAATTCTCCAGATTCCATCAGCTGATGCTGGCCAAAGCCAACAAGGGCCTGATCACTTACGTTTTACGTCACTTTCTGTCTGTGAGAATTAAAACTCTTAGTATTTGAATGATAAAGGGTTTAAATACAGTAAAACTGATCTTTTCAACTTGAGATGAATAAGTCTTCCATATTTTCTGCCACCCATGCAGAACCCCAGCAAGAGTAAAGTGCACCTGTCTGGATATGGAGTGGAACTGGCCATCAAAAACCAAGAGTACAAAGCCAAAGATGACACGCAAGTTCAAGGTATAATATATAATAAGTCAAAAGTCTTTGTCTTGTGGATTTGAAAGAAAGTTGTAAATACAATTAAATTCTTTAAATACAGATATTGTCTAATTAGCAAGCTCATTTATCTTTTCTCCACTTTTCACAGCTGGAGCTGATGTGAATGCCACTGTAATAGGTGAAAACGATCCTGTGGATGAAGTCCAGGGCTTTCTGTTTGGCAAACTCAAGTAATTTCAAACTGTATAAACATAAAGGATTGCTCTCCATTGACTAAAATGCATCCCTGTGTTTGAAATTACATAACAGTGTATCTTAATAGCACATGTTGTTTTTGCCAGGACCAATTATCCTGAACTTAAGGAACAGCTGAAGGAACTCCGGAAGCATTTGATTGAGAGCACCAATGAGATGGCCCCACTTAAAGTCTGGCAGATGCAAGGTGAGTGTTTCTGAACTGGTGGAACTTCCGACAAATATCAAATTTACATTAAACGCTTGTTGGCTGCAGGTATTTATATTGATGCAGAATGTCACAAGAGATGTGTGCTACAGTGTTTTTACCACGGTTAAGGTAGTGGAGCCTTTTGTACCATTGCTTAAACACATATTTGGTACACTTATTTTAATGCCACTACTTCAAGGCCTTTCAAGCTCAATTATTTTATTACCTGTGACTAAAGGAGCAGTCGGGTAACTCGATAATCATTCAGACGGTATGCAAATGGTACGTTTTCACATTGTTAATTAGCTGTGGTTCTGCTGGCCTTGTGCGGTTGTCAAACACAACTCCCTCTAGCCCAGAGCTCATTACTGCTCTATCAAGGTAAACTCATCAGAGACTAGTCACATTTAGCAAAACCTCTGAGCCAACACACACACAGTTGAACGTACTATTCCCAGCGGTACTGGAAAAGTGCTTTGGCACATCAAATTCATTATATGTAGAATCTGAGAAATTGGCATGTCATATACATGGCTATTTCAAATTAGAACGTGAGTATTTCAGGAGCAGAAATGCAAGGTGGAATAACATGTGTTCTTTATCCTTCTCCTAAAGATCTCAGCTTTCAGACTGCCGCCCGTATCCTGGCAGCTCCCTCTGTGGATGCTCTCAATGTCATGAGGGATTTGAGCCAGAACTTCCCCACCAAAGCTAGGTAAATAACCACCTGTCCATCACAAACACTGAGTCCTAACCAGACATGATAAAGCAACCAAAATCTTGTATCCTCTAGGTTTTTCTTTGTTTTTTAATTTTGAAATATCATTGGTCCCGAAATCTTACTCCACTCAGCTGTATATTTAACATTGAGTATGTTCTGATTGGCTGAGATTGTAACGCTTCGCACAGCATTTCACTTTCAGCAAAGGCTGTAAATTGATGCTGGAAACACTGTGTCCTAACCAGGTGTGACATAACGTGTTTATATGTGGCGTACAATTTATTATTTCACCTTCAAAAGCCACTTTTTTTGTGTTTATTCATTAATTCCTCATTGGCTCTATAGTAGTAGGTGCTTTTCAGTTCAGAAACCCTGGCAACAGACTGCTCAAGTCATCAGAAAGCTTATTCCGAGCTGGATGTTTTTACTGCCTTCTAAGGTTTAATTAACACTTTAAGGGGAAAAAACAAGCCGTCAGCAGTTATGATGAAAGTGATATGCTTTATTTGGCTCAGACAGCGCAGCCACAGTTGGGTTTTTTTGGCAAATGTTTTTTAAATGTGCCGCCCACACTAAAATGGAATTTTGCTAAAGTGATCCTTGACATCATGGAGTCTAATACACAGTCATGTATCACCCAGAGCAATTAACTGCAGCTCTGACTCATCGACTATATCTGAATGTAGACTTGCATGACGTCAGTGAAAGCAATCTCATCTCTATCTAGTTAAACAGCTTTGTTTAAAACAGTCAGCACAGACATTTTTACGCAGATTACAGTAGTCTATGCATTCAAAATTCGATTATAATGAAGCACCATGATGAACTAATGAATCGTTTTCAGTATAACCACTCACATTTCTCTATCCCCTCTCAGGTCCATAACAAAAACGGTGGTTAATTCAGAGATCCGGAAAGAGATTGAGGAAAATCAAAAGGTGAGGGCTACCATTGTCCTTTTTTCATGTTCCCAGAGTCCTTTTCTCAAAGCTGTAGCATCAGCAGGTTTTTTCATTCTCAGATAATGGACTCAAAGAAGGGCCCATCAAGTCTTTGTTTTTTTGCCTCATAATTCACCAAGAAAAATCTTGACAAAGTCTTACAATGATCCTCTCTTTCCTTATATTAAAACCAGTCTAAAATGAAAAAAAATTAACGTTAGTTAGTTTCCTTACGTTCCTCTGTATTGGAACTTGTGTAAACGCTTTTGTTTTGTCGCTGAAAAGGTAATGAATTAAGTAATTGCAGCGAATGCGGTTTATACGTGGCTTCGTTCATTGTTTCGGTCATTTCCTTTCTGTGATTAAAGCTGTTTCTTGCCTCTTGTAATGAGGACGTGTAACGGACCTGCTCCTCATTCCTCACTGTAATTGCATGCTGGGAAACTTGACGAATGGAGGCTCTTTAAGGTTCTCTAATGAGCTCCCTCACTCTAATGCATGTGCCTTTAGCGAATAACAAACATGAGTGCCACGGATAAAAGCATGAATATATAGAGTGTAAATGGCCTAAGGCTCGGAAGTGTCTGTTTGAATTATAGATCATATTGCGCATCTCTTTCAACTTCTGTTCTGCTCTAAGAAGTGACAGAAACATGTGTTTCATCCAGGGATTAGCAACCCACAGGGCTTGGGAGGTTATATTAAGGCTAATTGTGAATATGTCATACCTAATGTCTCCCGTTCTTATTTCTCCTCTAGTATTTTAAAGGGACGTTAGGTCTCCAGCCAGGGGACTCGGCTCTGTTTATAAATGGACTCCATATTGACCTGGATGTGCAGGATATTTTCAGGTAAGCAGCTGGATTTGTTATTTTTTTCAAATTACATATTATATATTTAATATAAATATTACATTATCATCAATAATTATTTATACTTAGAAGAAGTCTAAAAAGTAATGATTTAATAATAAAAATGTAACTAAAATAATAATACAGTATTTAATATTTACCTATATTATACACTACTGTTCAAATGTTTGGCACATGATTGTATGTTTTTGAAAGAAGTCTCTTATGCTCACCAAGGGTGCTTTTATTTGCTCAAAAATACAGTAAAACTGTAATATTGTGAACTATTAATTCAATTTGAAATAATTGTTTTCTATTGGAGTGTATTTTAAAATGTAAGTTATTCCTGTGATGGCAAAGCTGACTTTTTTTTTCAGGATTCTTTGTTCAGTAAGGTTCAAAAGAACAGCATTTATTTGAAACAGTGAACTGAATTTGAAAATGCCTTTGCTGTTACTTTTGATCAATTTAATGCATCCTTTCTGAATAAAAGCTTTAATTGCTTAAAAAAAAATACTTCCGGACCCTAAACCTTTGACTGATGTGTTATATGCCTTGCAATAATATAAGTTATGTGTATCATAAAGTGTGATGTATTTGTTATTGTCATGCTGCAACCCTGTATACTGTGTGTTTTTTGCAGTGTTTTTGACGTGTTGAGGAATGAGGCAAGGGTCATGGAGGGCCTGCGTAGTCTGCTCGTAGACACACCCTACATCCACGACATCCTCAAACTCAACATCCAGCCCTCAGACTCTGACTACGCAGTGGACATCCGCAGCCCTGCTGTTAACGTTAGCCACATGTTGTTGTTTTTTTTGTATAGCTGTTTTCTGGGAGAGACAATAGAGAATAAACCCTTTTTTCTCTTTCTCCAGTGGATTAACAACCTGGAGACAGATGGCAGATATGCATCCTGGCCCTCTAATGTGCAGGAGCTGCTGCGGCCCACCTTTCCTGGAGTCATTCGACAGATCCGGAAAAACTTTCATAATCTGGTAAGTATTGCAGGTGCTTTATAAATATGACAGTTTCCGTCAGACATTAACAATTCACAGTGTAAACCCCACACAGATCTAAATTCTGCAAATCATTTCAGAATATGTATGATGTTCTGACAGGTGATGATTCTGGATCCGACTCTTGAGAACACGGCAGTGCTGATCAGTGTGGCTGAGATGTTTTACAGCAACAACATCCCACTCAGGTCAGTCTGAAAATAGACCGAACATTATTACAAGAAGGTGATTGTTTAACAATGCATTTGAGCCATAGTGCTCCCGCAGGAAAGCAGGTTCAAATCTGGTCATTTTCTTGTGCCATTCTCACCCCTTCATTTAACTTTTTCAGTATCTCTCAATATATAATAAAGGCATTAAGACCCATAAATATTTTTTGTATATATATTCTGTAATTATAGACTTGAAGTGGTTGGTCAACTCTGTAACCTGTCAATGGAGTTATTGTGTCTCTCTCTGGTGATTTCTGTGTTTCTGTCTGTCTGCAGGATTGGAGTGGTGTTTGTGGTGAATGATTCTGATGAGGTGGATGGGATGCAGGATGCTGGTGTGGCTCTACTTCGAGCTTTCAACTATATTGCTGATGACATTGACAGCCAGATGGCCTTCGATGCCGTCATATCTGTAAGTCAACAACGTCATCAGTGCTTCATACAACACCAAATTAGTTGTGGACAGATATGAGTTTATGTACAATTATATAGGCTATATTTTTATATGATTAAAAATTTACTCTCTTGTTATTTCTGTACTTCTTTTGTATATTATTTACTGCCACACTGGCATATAGGTTTGCCAAACAGACTTTGAAATAAAATAAATTTAGATTTTAATGAAGAGGGCAGATGAATGTCTGTCCAAGGATGTGTTGTGATCATCTTGTGTTTTTCAGATGTTGAACAGAGTTCCCAGTGGAGGCAAACTGAAGGTGGAGCATGTGGTGGGCGTGTTGGAGAAGAGATATCCTTATGTAGAGATCAGCAGCATCCTGGGGCCTGACTCTGCCTACGACAACAACAGAAAAGTGAGGGATTTGTTTTTAATGTGTGTGCTTTGAATATTTAAGCAGTACCCCATTTCAGATGTCATATTCTTGCATGAGACAGAATATAGTGGATGTGGTAATGATTGGGTCAACTGTAGAGATTAAGGTTGCAATTGTCAGCCAGAGGTGGTTCCTGTACTAATAGCTCTTTGTGTCTCCCAGTAACCATAACCCTTATTGAGGTCATATCTTTTATGTCTCCACAGGAGGGAAAGGCATATTATGAGCAGACTGGTGTTGGCCCACTGCCCGTGGTGTTGTATAATGGAATGCCTTTACAACGTGAGCAGTTAGACCCAGATGAACTTGAGACAGTCGTCATGCACAAGATTCTGGAGACCACAAGTTTTTTTCAGCGCACCGTCTACCTGGTGAGAATTGCATGTCTGTCACCCATAGACTCTATGGTGTCTTTTTTTGGGTTAAAAAGTTACACATTATATAATTGCACTCTTCCCCCCCAAAAAAGCTAAAACCCATCATCAGTTGGCTATATCTCTCTGTTTTCCAGAACAGTTATAATGGAAACAATCTAGTTTTGTAAAGTTTCAGAACTCGTTTACAGAGTAGTTAAGGTGCTGTGCACTCTGTAGGCTTGCATGATTAACTTTTTTATTATACATATATATATTATTTAAGTATTTATTGCCAGTTAAGATTCTGCAATAAATAAAATGCATAAATACATAAAACTAAAGTAACATACATTACATTAATCCATATCGCAGGGATACTGCAGGTGTGTATATAAAAAAAATAATAATTGAAAAAACACACACACACACACATTTTTGCATTTGTCTGAAGTACAGTTTAGGGTTATTTATTGTCAGTGTCATCTTTCAAAATGCTTCCCATGATCTTTTCAGGGTGAACTGAACAGTGACCATGATGTGGTGGATTTTATCATGAATCAGCCCAACGTGGTCCCACGAATCAATTCCAGAATCCTGAGCACCAGCAGGAATTATCTGGACCTTGCTGCCACCAGTAAGTTTTTGTCTGATTGGGCTCATAGCAAAATTGTATTTCTTCAGTGTTTTGCTGCTCTCCGGTTCTTTTCTGTTGAATCATAAATAGCTTTTCTTCTTGTAAACGAGCTAGTTTGAAATATATACAACACGTAGGCTCTCACAGGCTCTCGGGAATGAATATCTGCCTCATTGTGAATTCTGTGCTAAATGTCTTGTTTGTTCTTGATAGCCCATTTATTTACAAAAACGTGCAAATGAGACTGCGGCAATGATATTCATAAACTGCTTTGTTTTTGCAAGGAATATGAAACTGAATTTTAATAGCTTTTGAATAGCATATTTGCAGTCTTTCAGGAAGCTGAGAAAAAGACTCATTTCAGTCTGAACTCGAATAGCACTTGATGTTCTGAAATAACAGCATTTCAAATAACTTTGGTTGGATTCAATTATGAATGTGAATGTACCTCTAACAGAGAACAAAGCACGACCTTATTTTCATTTTCTTCCCAAGTGTTTGCCATCACCTGACCTCCAAAAAAAACAAGTCTTTTCTTTTCTAGACAATCATTTTATTGATGAATATGCACGTTTCCTCTTTCTGGACACCAAAGACAAGAACGCAGCGGTGGCCAACAGCATGAATTACATGACAAAGAAAGGTGAGGTGATTGCTGCTATTGATCTCCATGAGAAACTCAGTTATTCCAACCTTCTGCTGATCTCTTGCCTATATAAATATGAACCATGGAGGGTTACTCTATGGGACCTTTATGAAATATGTCATTTCTGGTTGTTCTGTCCATTTTACATTATTTACCAGGTGCACATTGCGGTTATGGCAAAACAGACCAAATTTCAGAAGTTGTCAAAGATATTTGTCATAAGAGAAAAATCGGCAGTTTTACCACCAGATTTATGAAACATGACAAATTAGCGTGAGCCCATAATCCCATAAAAGCGGCGATTGGAGTGGAAAGTTCTCTGGGTGATCTGCTGACAATGACCAAATTGTCAAGAACACAGATGCAGCCAGATCATTTCCATAATGACAATGCAGTCTACCAAGAGCAGTGCAAATTAGCATAGGGTTGCAAACAAGCAATGCAGATGTTAATCAGGTGCAGTACTAACATTACCGGTGCAGAATGGGTTAAGACATGCATTTTTTGGGTGTTAAATAATGGTGCAAATACCTGTAAATTGACTATCGCAAATCTTAGTAAATCACTTTGCATGATCTAAATATTATCCTCCAATAAGTCTTGCATCTGAAAGAGAAAATCCTACAAATGTATATGCAAAAAGTTCATGCCTTTTCATTGCAAATTTTTCACTGTCTTTCACTGTAAATCCCGACAGTAGTGAAGGTTTGCATTAGTGCAAGTGCTTAGTAAATCTGGCCCTTGGTTTGATAAGTGTGACATTCTCACCAAGAAATAGTAGTTGATACTAGCTTGTGTTTATTATGTATGTAACTAGTATCTCTATTTAGTTTTGCCTTTGTATTATAATGTAAAAATATCCTTCAGTTCGCTTTGGAGAATGAACAGTCAAATGCAAATGAAGATGACTGACATGGATTGGTGACTTAAATCACCCAGTCAACACTGTCTATCATGACCAAAGTTTTGGCTGCCATATCTGTCACACAGTCTGACATGAAAGACACTTAATGTCGTACAGTCTGTTTTGTCTTTTAAGCAACATTTCTCGGAGTCTCGTTATATAATCTGACAGGCAACCCTCACAGAGAACAGAAAAAATTGCAGTGTACACCTGGCTTTAGACACGGTGTACCATTAAATTCTGCCTTTATTTGTGTTTTTCTTGAACGCTGTTTTCAGGGATGTCAACAAGGGATGCTTCTGGTAATTGCATTGAGCTGTTATACTCACTTCACTGACAACCCACTTCCCATAGATCTCATCTAAACATACAGTGCCCGACTGCAAATATAGTTAGAAAACGCCTACATTGCCATCATTAACACAACACTATCTGTTGCTTGAAGGAATATTCCGGGTTATTTAAAACGTAATGTCTGTGTACCACATCTGTGGCATGCTGTCGGTTACCACAGGAAATAATTTAGACTCTGTCTCTCAGTTTGTGTGCACAAATGGGAATGCATTTACGGGAATACACTTATAATAGCAAAGCCTAGCAGGTCAGTGTGCAGCTACTTTGAGTAAATATCTATAAATATTTAAAATGTCTATTTTACTATCACACTGTTTTGAAAGTACAAACATGAAAATGGTTCAGATGCACTGGTATGTATACAAGGATGCCACGATGAAAGTATGAAAGGGATGTGACATAATATATAGAAGTGAAATCACATCAGTAATACAGAATCAGAAATCTGTCCATCTAGAAAAGTAGTCCAACCTCTAAAGGACAATTCAGACAAATTTACAGCTACATGTAAGGTTACCGCTTGAACAAAAATACAAGCCTCGTATTCTTAAATGCTTTGGACTGCTAGACTTCCATTAGAAACCAAGTGCATTCCTCTGAATAAGGTTTTGTTGTTTAAAATATACTGAGCGACAACTCTTTAATTATTTTCTGTGGTCATTGACAGTATGCCACTGATGATATTGATATCTAAAGTTGTAAATGTCCCAGAATATTCCTTTTTAAGTGTTTCTGCAAGTTTTAAGATTAGTTTCTTATGGTTGTTGTTGTTGTTTTCCTTTAACCAAGTGAAGAAGTTTTCTGAAGCTTGCTATTGATTTAAGCACAGCAGTGCATTTGTCATCTGTCAGAACTGTCAGTGTTTGATGGATGAAAGAGAATCTCTTTCTATCCTGTGGCCCCCTGTAATATCTTTCTTTTACAGACGTTTACAGGTTTATATCTAGGTTGAAATTGCCTGTCTGTCTTTGTGTGCCGCTTGGGCACTTCAGATACATCTTGCCTTTTTAACGGTTAAAACCCAAGACAAGCCAGAATGCTTTCAGTTCCTCACATCATGTTCACTCACCTTTTTAGATTGCATGAGGAAACAGCATGTCTCATCTGTGTGTAACTTCCTTTAGTTCATGTGTCTGTCCTTCTCTGACTTGCAGATGATGGCATCATCCGTCCAGTGACTTTCTGGGTAGTGGGCGACTTTGACCAGCCCTCAGGACGACAGCTGCTGTACGATGCTATACGTCACATGGTAGGACAATGTCACTGAGCCAGTTCCATCAATGTTAGCAGTTAAAGATAAAATCTCAAACGCAGTGTACAAAATTTACTTTTTGCTACAGCTGTCTGTGTCTGATGAATTGAAGACATTTACTGGCAATTTCGTTATATTGTTACTAGTACTTCCGTTATTTGTGAATCTAATCTAAATATGTATTCACACAATGTGGCATTAAATTTCACTGCAGTATTTGTATATTAGTATGTATACAAATTAATGTAATTATCATAAAGCTGAAATATATTTTAATATATATTTACATAAAAATGTAAACAAGCACACATATAGCTTTGATCCTTACTGATTATATTTTATTTGATTTTATATGCACATTGTTTGGATTATTTTTTTTCTTTGTCTTGGCATTTGGCAAATATTATTTTTGGACATGCATTCATAGACTCAAGCACTGGCATTCTTATTTTAGTATTATTTGTATACTATTATAGTATTTATTAATTCACTTTAATTTTAGTGTTAGTCATTCTGTTGTGTGCTTCTGTCACTTTTATTAGGTTATTTCAAATATTTATTTTAAGCTTTGTTTTGTTACTATTTCAGATAGTTGCAAAGACAACATTTATAATTTACTTCTATAGTAAATTATATTATATTATAATATAATTTACATTTATTATACTTTTTTTCTTTAAATGTTTCATCTAATATTTATGTTGTTTTATTTTGCCTTTATTTAAATGAAAACTAAAAATATTGTAAAATATTCATTTTACTTAATAACAACAATGTATATTTCAAACACTAGACCTAGTATTCTATTTGTAAGGTTGTCTATAACAACTCTTATTTATATTTTTATAACTGCTTTAATCTTTAAATGTGTGTGATAGAGTGGAAAAACAAGTCTAAACTAATCATAATTTGATGTCTTTTTTTTTACTTTAGAAAACCAGTAATAATGTACGATTAGGAGTGATCAATAATCCCAGTGAGAACCCGTCTAATGAGAAGAGCCTAATTGCTCGAGCCATATGGGCAGCCATGCAAACCCAAACCGCCAACAACGCCAAAAACTTCATCACCAAAATGGCTAAAGAAGAGACTGCACAGGCTCTTTACAGAGCTCTGTGTCTGAGACCAGCTGTCGGTGAGAGCAGGTTCATTTCGTTGTCTGTACCTTGACTCATGTCACTTCCTGTTTCTCTGTGTGCCCACTCAGGTGTTGAAGCAGCTGGTCAACGTCAACCTGCGAGTGTTCATGAACTGCCAGTCCAAGCTCTCTGACCTCCCACTGAAAAGGTTAGAGGAGAGACACTGTCAGCACATGCTCCATTATAGAGTCACCTTCACATTTCACTGCATACTTTGAACTTTTTACATGCTACAAAAGCATGGGGCATGACAAGATATAATTTACTCTGAAGTGCTACATTATTGTTTTAGGCTAGCTGATATTTTTAAATATCTTATGATATTTTTGTGCAATATTTTTTTTTTCTCCTTAGTTTTTATCGATATGTCTTGGAGCCGGAGATTTCGTTTATGGCGGATAGCAGCTTTGCTCCTGGTCCGTTGGCTAAGTTCTTGGATATGCCACAGTCGCTGTTGTTTACCCTCAACCTAAACACCCCTGAGAGCTGGATGGTCGAGTCTGTCCACACACGCTACGATCTGGATAACATCTACCTTGAAGAGGTAGGAATTCTCATCACTCTCACTTACTCATGAAATCTAGGTCAAATAAGGTAAAGAGTTGGTTGTTTTTTTTTTCTTAGGTTTTCAGAATTATTCATTAACCATGTCAAGCCTGACATATAAAATAATAATAGTACGTTATACTTTTTTATTCAAACTGTTTATAGTTTATTTACAAAAAAAAAAAAAAACATTATTATTATTAATTTTTGCATATGCAGTTTTTATATATATATTTATTTGATACATAAGATTAATTTATTGATAATTGCTTCAGAATAAATTGTTTACTCCACCAAAAATCTCAGTGATGCAGTTATTTTGTGGGGATATTTTGTATGGAATATTGTCTGCTGACATGAAAAGTTCACTGTATATCATAGCAATAAATACCATTTATTACAGCATTGATATTTTGTTTTCTTTTTAATTTATACACACTAAATATTACATATGTATGTAATAAAATGTGTTTTTGTGTTACAGGTTTTCGTCTTAAATTTCATATAAGGTGGTATTAAAAAGGTCTTAAAAAGTCTTAAATTTAACTTGTTCAAGTCTGCAGAAACCCTGATTGTTGTTATTATTATTATTTATTATTATTTTTTTACTAAATGCATTTTAATTGTGTTATATTACACGTTTTATTAAGCATATTCATTATTGTGATCATTAGTAATCAAGTCATATCCTCTTATTTGCAGATTGACAGTGTCGTGGCCGCTGAGTACGAGTTAGAATATTTATTACTGGAGGGTCATTGTTTTGACGTAACAACAGGTCAGCCACCCCGTGGGCTGCAGTTCACTCTGGGCACTGCCTCCAACCCTGTCATAGTCGACACCATCGTCATGGCCAACCTGGTGAGTGGACATCACAGATTCATCTGGGAAATAATTGCTGGTTTTCTTAGAGGTCACTGTTGCTTACTGAGACCGGTCTTTAATAGGGTTATTTCCAGCTGAAAGCAAACCCAGGAGCTTGGATTCTCAGACTGCGGAAAGGCAGGTCGGATGATATCTACAAAATCTACAGGTACCCTATTATGGCGTGTCAGACGTCTGTCTCTCTTAATGTCCTTCTGTCTCTTCACTTGGTTGGTCGGTTCACTGTTTTAATTCCCCTGTCACAGTCACGATGGCACAGACTCTCCAGCCGAAGCTGATGATTTAATCGTCGTCCTTAACACCTTCAAGAGCAAGATCATTAAAGTGAAAGTAAGTAATGGGTGTCTGATCAGGTGTTGGGGTGAGGGCACATGCGAGGTCTTTGTCTCTGTAGTTTGAGGGTATTAGCAGAGATAAATGTGCTCAGGTGGCTGTAGACAAGAGCAAGCAAGATATTCCTTCCATTTCTGCTCAACTGGAGAGATGGAGAGTGAGAGAGTGTCTTTACTTTTCCAGTATATACTCTTAATATCTGACAAGCTGTCAACATGTCAGCCGTTGTGTGGGCGTGTGTCCAATGTGAGGTCTGCTGCTTACTGTGGGGCTGAGGGTGGATTAAGAATGTCGACTGGGATGAGTGTGTTTATATATATCTGAATTTTTGACACGTTGTGGCTTTATGTATACAGCATGGGCTAGAGGGAATGTGCTTGTTTATGCAGCAGTGCTTGTCTCAGGGTTTGGATTATTGTTTCCTCATCAAAAGATGGCAGTTGTGTTCACTTCACATCACAATTAATTTCACCTGCCAGTGGCTGGTACATTCAGAAATAAATTAATTAATAAATAAACTTACTGGTTGTGAAACTGTATTTTGCATTTGATTTGAATTTGTTTATCCCTATAACAAATTATTTTATTAGGGAGTAATTTGGAATGTCGCTACATGGAGTTTTGGAGTTGCAACAATACAGAAAACACTTTTAGCTTCCTAGTTAAACATCTGAGATAGAAGTTATTAAAAGATGTACACTTCCATTCAAAAATTTGGGGTTGGTAAGATTTGTTGTAACTTTTTTCACATGTTAAACATGTACTTGTTTAACCTTGTTACACGTTACATGTACTTACTATAGTAATAACAGTAAATGATACATAGTTACAGGAAACCAAACCTAAATCAATCCTAACCCTAAATTCCTCATCAAAAGATGGCAGTTGTGTTCACTTCACATCACAATTAATTTCACCTGCCAGTGGCTGGTACATTCAGAAATAAATTAATTAATAAATAAACTTACTGGTTGTGAAACTGTATTTTGCATTTGATTTGAATTTGTTTATCCCTATAACAAATTATTTTATTAGGGAGTAATTTGGAATGTCGCTACATGGAGTTTTGGAGTTGCAACAATACAGAAAACACTTTTAGCTTCCTAGTTAAACATCTGAGATAGAAGTTATTAAAAGATGTACACTTCCATTCAAAAATTTGGGGTTGGTAAGATTTGTTGTAACTTTTTTCACATGTTAAACATGTACTTGTTTAACCTTGTTACACGTTACATGTAATAACAGTAAATGATACATAGTTACAGGAAACCAAACCTAAATCAATCCTAACCCTAAGGTTAATCCGAACCGTAATTCAATAATAAGTACATGTTGTTAATTAATATTTCTCAGTACTTAAGTGTACAGTTACATTGTAACACAGGCATCGTAAAATAATGTAACTAATTTTTCTTATGCTCACCAAGACTGCATTTATTTAATCAAAACAGTAATATTGTGAAATATTACAATTTAAGACAACTATTTTCTATTTGTATATATTAAAAAAAATCGAATTTATTAATGTAATGGCAAAGCTGATCAGTAGCCATTACTAGTATTCAGTGTTTCATGATCCTTCAGAAATCATTCTAATATGCTGATTTGGTGCTTAAAAACATTTCTTCTTATTATTATTATTAATGGTGAAACTAGTTGTGCCACTTAAGATTTTTGTGTAAACCATGATACATTTTTTTCATGATTCTTTGATGAATTGAAAGTTCAAAAGAAAAGCCTTTATTTGAAATAGAAATGCTTTTGAATAAAAGTATCGATTTCTTTAAAAAATAAAAAAATAAAGTCTTACTGACTCCAGACTTTTGAACAGTAGTGTAGATGGGACACCAACCTTTTAAGTAGGTCATTTGCATATCTTTGATTAATTCGTGCTAGCAAGGAAGCCGATTCTACATTACATGCTTATGTTATTGCATTGCATTCAAACCATGCTTTATTTTGCAATTCCAAACTAGCTAATAACTCCAGTTTATTTACTAATGAATTTTCTACCCTGCCTGTCACCCATGTCTCACAGAACCAGATCTTGTCAAGTCCTTGATCAGAATAACCTTATATGTTTAACTGTCTTAAACCGCACGTGACTCCCAGAATGTTGCAATCACATGTGCTCGACATTAGTGCTGAGGGATTTCATGCATAGATTCTGTTGCCCTAACTCATGTTTGCAGGTGCAGAAAAAGCCTGATATGATGAATGAGGAGCTTCTAAGTGATGGTACCCATGAGAACGACTCTGGATTCTGGACATCTCTAACCAGGTACAAAGTGTTGCCTGTTGAGTTCTACTGTTGCGCTCACTTACAGTATTTGTCTATTAATGGTTCGTTCTCTATCTCTTTCAGAGGATTTACTGGTGGTTCAAAGCCAGAAGAACCCAAACAGGAGAAAGAAGATGTCATTAACATTTTTTCTGTGGCATCTGGCCACCTGTACGAGAGGTTCCTCAGGTAAACAGCTGCTTTGCGTTGGATTTTACAGAGCCAGCATTGCAAGTGAAAATTACTCTAAATGTGAAGAAAATATTTGGTCACACCTATGCAAGTAACTTGAATACACTTGATGTTGCTTATATAATGACATAGAATAAAATCTCCCTGCTTTCATCCAGTACAATATCCAGTAAAACAATTTTGATCATTTACATAAACATATAACGGCTTAACAGATCATTCATGAAAATATATTCAAATAGTTATTAATGTCATAGTTATTAAAGCTTGATTATTGTTTTAATATTCCTAAACTACTGGCCTGGACTGTCGTTGTTTGCATAGACAAAACATGTTAGCACAGAGCCCTGTTCATGTTCTTAAATAAATCGTGACATCTCTGCTATGACAAATATATGACTTTAATATTATTCTTGTGCAGCAGAAATTGCTACAGTTTTGACATGTAATACAGACAAGTCCTCTTGTGTATATCCTTATGTGATATTAAAAAATGACACGCATGCGTCTTCTAATTTCACATATTAAGAAATTGCAATAACTTTTATGTGACCGCGTGGCTTGGGTCACATCTTGACTTTTTGTGACATTTTCCTCTTTATAAAGTTCTGTTTAGGCCTGTTTTCAAATGCTGATCTTTGTGACTTGCTATGTCTCATTAGCAGCAATGTTATTGGTTGTGTAATGCAGCTCAGTTTAGAAGGTCACTCGCATAATTCTTCTGCGGCCTGTCACTGCAGGCACTCTGTGTTGAGCTTTGGCCTCTCTCTGTCTCTGCAGGATAATGATGCTGTCTGTGATCAAACACACCAAGACACCCGTCAAGTTCTGGTTCCTCAAAAACTACCTGTCTCCAACTTTTAAGGTACTGGATTCGAGATTTAACATGATGGCACAAGATTTAACATGATGGCACATTATGTCATATATATTTTATGATGTAATATATATTATTTATATTTAATATATATTTATATTCAAAAATTCAGCTTTGCCATTAAATAATTATATTACATTTTAAAATATATTACTTAACTTTTTTTGAAGACTATTTCACAATATTACTGTTTATACTGTATTTGACAAATAAATGCAAGCTAATTACAAAATATATTACTTTCTAAATAAAATATTTTTTTCTTGGAATTAATTTTTATTTTATTTTAAATAAAATAAATATGTTTTATATTTGAATGATTTTAAATACTGAATTTTCAGTAGCCATTACTCCAGTCGCCAGTGTCACACGATCCTTCAGAAATCATTCTAATATGCTAATATGATTTGCTGCTAAAGAAACATTTCTTAATTGTATTAATGTTGCAAACAGTTGTGCTGCTTTATATTTTTGTGGAAACTTTGATGCATGGTTTTCGGGATTCTTTGATGAATGAAAAGTCTGAAAGAACAGCATTTATTTGAAATAGAAATATTTTGTAACATTATACTGTCACTTTACTGCATCCTTGCTAAATAAATTTACATTTCTTAAAATGACGGTAGTTTGTGTGTATATATATTACATATTTTTGTCTTTTTGTAGGAGTTTATTCCGTATATGGCAGAGAAGTATGGTTTCCAGTATGAGTTGGTACAGTATAAATGGCCACGCTGGCTTCACCAGCAGACAGAAAAGCAAAGGATCATCTGGGGATATAAGATCCTGTTCCTCGATGTGCTGTTCCCCCTGGCTGTGGACAAGATCCTCTTTGTAGATGCGGATCAGGTACAAAAACATAGCAGTGCAGTTGTGTGGCATGAAATCCTGTCTCTGGTGAGCATTAAGCACAAGTTTGCTCTTATGAGATTTATTTTCGAAAGTTTATGTACAGACAGATCACTCATTTGTAGTCACTGGAATTGCATAGCAGTTGTTGTAATCTGGGGTAATTGTTATGCAAACTGGAGAGAACATCATGCACATTACACATCTGATGATACACTGCTGCCACCTCTGGGTAAAGAAAAATACAGCTGGAGTTTAAATCTAAACAATAACTACAATAAATAAAAAATTCAGGGTTTCTTCTGAGCATATCATATCCTGATTATTTTGTCTGTGAATACAAAGACACACAGTCTGGGATTGATAAATGTTGTTGTGCTTTTACCTATAGATAGTTCGCACAGACCTGAAGGAGCTGCGGGACTTTGATCTGGAGGGAGCGCCGTACGGTTACACGCCTTTCTGTGAGAGCAGAAGAGAGATGGATGGATACCGTTTCTGGAAGTCTGGCTACTGGGCCAGTCATTTGGCAGGACGTAAATACCACATCAGGTAAGAATGGTTTGCTGAAATTGTTGTCTGGCGTTTTTATCTACCTCATTTTAAATGATGATGATACATACCAAACAACCCATTTTTTTTTGTTGTTTAAAATGCAGCAGTAATAAGATAGCCTTTCCCAGTGCATCAAATGATTTGTCTACTGTAGAGCTATTTTACAGCTAAAATTGAATTTGTTTCATAACTGAATTTTATTTATTTTTTTCTGTTTATTACTGTGAAGCTGCTTTGAAACAATCTGTATATAGCTCTATATAGATAATGTGATTTGATTTGATTTTGTGTGCTCATCAGTGCTCTATATGTGGTCGATCTGAAGAAGTTCAGGAAGATCGCAGCTGGAGACAGACTGAGAGGGCAGTACCAGGGTCTGAGTCAGGATCCCAACAGCCTGTCCAACCTGGACCAGGTGGGATGTTCACACAAAAAGCTTTACATAGAAAAGGCTTCATCAGTGTGTAGTGCAACACTGGGCGTGTCATTTGGGTTCTTCATTGATGTTTTTTCCCCTCTCAGGATCTGCCCAACAACATGATCCACCAGGTGCCTATAAAGTCACTTCCTCAGGAGTGGCTTTGGTGTGAGACCTGGTGTGATGATGCATCTAAACAGAAAGCCAAGACTATAGATCTGGTAAGTCCATTGCTCTCATACAACAGTTTCTGTCATAAAATTTTTCAGGATTGTTTTGATTTTCGTGTTTGTTTTTTGTCAGTAAATTACACTTTGTATTTGTCTGTCTTAGTGCAATAACCCACAGACAAAAGAGCCCAAGCTGCAGGCTGCTGTGCGTATAGTAGCCGAGTGGAGCAACTATGACCAGGAGATAAAGGGAATCTACAACAACTTCCTGGAGGAGAAAGAGAGAGGCACCACAGACAGCTATCAGCAAACAGACAGAAAACACCCAGGTGAGACCAAACTGTCCTTTTCCTTTTTGTGTCTTGTGGAAGATAGTGAATTTCACTGTGATGTTTTAACCTGTTGAATGACACTTTCCACAATTATGGTACAAAGTAGGACTTTTAATTTATGTTGTCCATTCATTTCACGAGGGGAAAATAATTCTACAGCACAATGTCTACATATAACTTAAAACCCTGACATGTATGATTTTTGTTGCGTTTTTACAATACAACCTAAAATGAGTAACAAAATGTAATAAATTGTATAAAATGTAATCATTAAAAACAAACAAATTGGTTTTTAGTTATTTTAGGTTTTTATTTTATTTATTTTTTTACTTCCTTGGTTTTACTTCCTACGTTTTGGACACTACTGTTTAAAAGTTTTGTGTCTTTAGGTTTTATTTTTTGTTGAAGAAGTCTCTTATGTACACCAACGTTGCATTATTTTATACAAAAAAAGGTGTAAACTCGTAAAACGAGTAATATTATGAAATTAAAATTTTAAATACCTGATTTCTATTTTAATACATTTTAATGTCATTTGTTCCTGTGATGCAAAGCTGAATTTACAGCTGCCAATACTCTAGTAATCAGTGTCACATGATCATTCAGAAATCATTTTAATATACCAATTTGGTGCTCAAGAAGCATTTCTTATTATTATCAATGTTGAAAATAGAGGTGCAGCTTAATATTTTTGTGGAAACCATGATGCATTTTTTCCCCCAGAACTATTTAATAAATAGAAAGTTCCAAAGAGCATCATTTATTTGAAATAGATGTAATTAGTAACAATATAATTGTCTTTACTGTCACTTTGATCAATTTAATGCATCCTTGCTGAATGAAAGTATTCATTTCGGTTACACTTTACTTGAAGGGGTGTGCATAAGACTGACATGACACCTTCATAATCATGACATGACAGCTACATAATCATGACATGACACATGTCATGAATATGAAGGGTTTTTATGCATGTTTATGACAACTGTCATTAAGTGTCATTCGCTCAGTTATGTAATTTTGAAAACAAAGATTACGTTGTTTGAGATGTCTTTGTTATGGGCTATGGTTAGGGGTAAGGGTAGGGTTAGGTTAGGGTTAGGTCAAATAATGTCATGTTTGCATTAAAAAGGACATAACTGAGCGAATGACACTTAATGACAGTTGTCACAAACATGCATAAAACCTCCTTCATATTCACGACATGTGTCATGTCAGTCTTATGCACACCCCTTCAAGTAAAGTGTTACCTTAATTTCTTTCAAAAATGAATGAATTATCTTAATTACTTTGACCAGACTTTGGAACAATAGAGTGTGATTTCAAATCGAAGAATACAGTTGACAAGGTTGAAATCTCTGAGCTGGAACATGCCTGTATGATTAATTAATAATATCTAACTTATCTACTTTAAAATAAAATCTCTTTAGAAATGTAATAGACACCAAAGTTTAGCCTAATCGTGCAAAGTGCTGAATAGCTTTTTATAATTATTTGCTTAATTTGAGTCTCTTTCTGCTCTTCCTCGCTCTTTCCTGTCTCTCTGTCAGGTGGTGACACTCACTCAGAGCTTTGAGCTGATGCTCTGCGACCGAAGAACAGGGGACTCTGTTCAAAGAGTCATCTTTTCTTCAACCTTTTTAAACCAAGCCTATCCTCCAGGAATGGGTTGACATTCGTGCTGAACTTGACTTGAACAGAATTAATGCAAAATTCCCTCGTTTGTATCTGAATACTTGTGGACGTGTTGGGGTTCTGGGTAAACGACACGAGCAGAGGACGTCTCCTCTATCCAGGCACATCTGATATTTCCCCTTCACCCCATACAACACTATGGGCCTTTCATATGCTATAAACAATACCAGTTCCTCTAGAGTAAAAAAAAAAAAACTAGTGCAGTCTCGACTGGTCGAGGTAGTTTCATAGGGAATAACTTAATTGAACTGCATTTAACTTAATTGAACTGCATTGAATTAAACTACATGTGCGCAATTTTAATATTAAAGCAGATTTGATAAATGTCCCTCTTAGCTGTAACTCACTCTCATGAAAATGATTATTAAATCATGAAACATGAGATGCAGACCACCCATGGTGTTGAAATGCCACGGCAACAAAGTGATGTTATAATAGTTAGACTTTAAAGCACAGATCATTTCCTGTGACACATCACCGTTCAGTTAGAGGCTCCATTTCAAAATTCAGATTCATCTTTTGGTAAACAAGCCAGCACTAGTCTGTTTTTGTGATTCTGAAAGTGGTGTTTCCATGCGCGGTTTAATACAAAAATTTTGAAATTGCATCGCTCTACAAAGTGACGCATCAAAAGACCTTTTAACTCAGGAACAAGCTATTCGGTCGATTTAGTCACAGCTAAAGAATTTATTTTTTTCCGTTCCGCAGACGAAAATTTTAATTTACTGAAAAATCTCTGTGGGCATTGAAAAGCTCCAGTAGTGTTGTCACAGTCTAATGTTGGTTCATGGGTATTCCGCATTAAAATGATTTATAATGTTAGTCAGTTAATGAAACTCAGTCAATGGTCCTTTTAGCCCTACAGGATTAGAATGATGTCTTTAGAAGATTACGAGGGGGAAAAAATAACTTCCTTCAGAAAAGCTGCTAGCAGGAAATTACAGGTTGTTGTTTAAATTTAGTTTTTGTTTATTTAATTTTTTTTTAGCATCACTGGATTTCAGTAAGTCATTGATGTGGTTGCTTTTTCCAGAATTTTTATTTTATTTTTGGCCATATGTCCATTTCTGTGGTAATGCTCTTGTAGGTTTGAAAGTACCCTCTGTTGACCACTAATTTCATATATTTGATCATAAACCGTGGGCTGGGAGACTTTGTCTGCATTTAAGTAATATAGATATGTGCAGACTTTTTCATCTCTGGTTATTACCTGGAATATTACATGGAAATCGCCAATAGGTCCCAGAGTCTGTATAATGTCAGGTTTTAAAGTGAAAAGAAAAGCGGGGCTTGCACAGTGCCTTGTGCTTCATTCTGTTTGAGAGGTACATTACAGTGTCTTGTGGTTTATTTACTGAGTACACTTAATATGGGGAAAAAATTACTGATTTAGTCAATACAATGATCCTTTGGAATTGCTGTAAGATTATTGTGGGATGACAATATTTTGTAATAAAAGAATGTAACAAATGCAAGTCTTAATTTTTTACAATTTTATATTATTATTATTAGTAGTAGTAGTAGTAGTAGTTTAAAAAATTGTTTTCTTTCCACTACTTTTAGAAATAGAAAAAATCCACTCGTTGCAATGCATTATTCTACCAAATGATGGCAGCACAATCCAGTAGTAAAACTATGACCATAATGTAGTGAGAGATTGATGATTACCTTTCTTGGAGATGCTCTGTCCCCTAGTTTATCATGAAACAGTGAAAACCAAACATTTCTTAAGCCTTTGCATGGACATGATGTGAATAAAAGGAAGATATGAGAAATGTTTTAGTTTTTCCGGCACTAACTGTGCCTTCTCAAGACATTATTGCAGATTTAGTGTTGTATATTGTCATGCGTCATTGTAAATTGTGCAGAATTTTATTAAGCACATATGAAGTTCATACCAAATTTGTCATATTTGAAACTTTAGTTTGCTATTGCAGCTTTCTCATATTTGTGATGCAATTTCTTGTTATTTGGACATTGTCTCTCACATCTGCATTAAGACGGCATGATCGTAATCTATCCTTCGCCAGTAATGTATTTTTACTGTTAGTTTCTTTCAAATTCTTTTCAGTTTTGACATTAACTAGATTATAATATTAGGCTTCCAAATGATCTTGAATAATGCAGTTAGCACACAAATTAGAGCTTATTTTGCTTTAGTGATGAAGTCAATTAAACACCTCAAACTCTCGTTATTACACAAACAAATGTGTACTTGACTCTGATCGATGGTTTAGTGAATTGTGAAGGGTGCAGATGGTTAGATTTTTAGATTTGACACAAACAACAAAGCACCATGGACCATGGTATTACCAATATTTGATCTGTGTACCATGGTAATTCACCATTGTGTTGAAATACATTTTTGAAGAATCATGTACTGTAAATACTAGTGTACATTCAAATGTTATCATCAGCAGCACAATATTTCACTACTGTTCAAAAGTTTGGGGTCAGTCATTTTTTTTTTCTTAAAAAAAAAAGTTTTATTCAGCAAGGACACATCTATTCATCAAATAATCTACAAAAAAATTATGTTTTACAATAATATCAGTGCATTAGAATGATTTCTTAATGGTCATGTGATATTGAATACTGCAATAATGGCTGCTGAAAAATCTGCTTTGCCATCACCGGAATACATTACATTTGTACTAAAATAGAGATTTTTAATTTGAATAATATCTCACAATACTACTCTTTATGCTGTATTTTGATCAAATAAATATAGCCTGAGTGAGCATAAGAGACTTCTTTCAAAAACATTTGAACGTTAGTGTAACAGTTACATCTCTCTCCCACTGTATTTTTGTAAGGGAAAACAGTGGTTCCTTTATTATAATCGTGGTTTTCCGTTTAGAAAGTTTGTGAGAAGTTTACAGTAGTTTCAGTGGTGAAATCTCCTGACCAGGAGCATAAAGAGTTAATGCTTCTATTTACAGAAAAAAAAAAAGAAAAAAAAAGTTTGTCAATTGAGAGCAGAGCAGTGGGGCCAGAAAGAGGATCATTTACATGTAGACGATAGTTTTAGCCTGGACCCATTCTTTCTCCCTTTCTCTCTGTCAGTTCATAGTTACCATGACAACGAGCATGCCATTTATTTCTGTACATTAGGCGCAGACTGCTAGTCTTTGGCCGCTTTTTTTTTAAAATCCAGACCTCTTTTTAGAGGATGAATTTGCATGTATATGCGTTTGTGCTGTCTGTCTTAACCCCCACGCCCCGTCTCTCACTCTCTCACTCTTTCTCTCTTCCTTCCCATGGTTTTATCTTTCCTGTCTTTCTTCCCGCCTTTTGTCGGTTTATTCTCCATCTCATCTGTCTCTTCACTGCTGTCTCGTTCCTCTCTGCTCGCCGCACCGGTCATGGTGATCTCAGTCCGCTGAGGCCTCACGAGAGAGAGAAGTGATGTAGCGGCGTCATATTGGACGAGAGAGACCGAGACAGACAGAAAATGGGCAGCCCTCCTGTTGCTGGGGGAGACTCCACGGCTCCTGAGCTAGAGTAGAGGGCGGGAGAGGGTGTCCGTGTCTTTGCGTCTCTATCCAGATGGCACTGGTCAGCCGTCCCTTACTCAGCGGGCACATTAAAACGGATCACTGATAGTAATGACCAACACCTACATCTGTTAAGCCACGTCCCTAGTCTGGGTATATGGGCATCCCAATGCCTTCTGCCCTCGCAGTGCCGCTACGCTTTGATCTTGCTAACGTCTGTCGGTCTGGGCTGTGTGCTGCCTGTACCCATGTCATCCCCAGCCCAGCAGGAGAAGAGTTATAGTATTAGTAGCATGTTGCCAGCTGGGACTGGGCTATAGCTCGTTGAATACGCCGATGTTATTGAGAAATGTTCAACAGCCAATAGTCTGAGTTTAGCACAGCCGTTCACGGAGCGTCTGATGCGTGTGGCAATCACAAATGGCAAGATATTTTTTTTTTAAATTGCAAGAGGGAATCTGATTGGCTGGGTTTATGCAATTTCTGTGGGTCAGATTGTGCAGGTTTTATCTGTCGTAGTGTTAGGAAGTCAAAACTCCGGGCTGGTTCAGTGTTGTTACTGTTAACTAAAACTATTAAAAATCGTGTTTGTTAATTGAAACAAATCTGAAATAAAATATAAAAAATTGTAAACTTAAAAACTTAATTGAAAGTAAAAAATGAAATAAAATGAGTTTAGGGATACTAAACTAAAACTATATATATAGTAATACATATAAATATATGTAAAAACTGATAAAAAAAATGACAAAAGCACATAACAAAATGGCTAATACTTAAACTAAAATTAAAAAGAAAACTAAAAATATAAAAGATAATTCAAAATATTATTAAATATTAAAAACTGATTCTTTATTCTTTTACATAATCACATGTTGCTATATACTCTGTGGGATTTAACATACTTAAAAGTTTCATTAAATATCTTTATTACTTTTTAAGTTTGTTGTATTTTTCAGTAATTATATAACTGTTTTAATTAAGTGTAGTAGTTGCTGTATTCATTGAAATATTATGTGTGTCAGTTCAATACAGACTAGACTCTTGGCTGTCAGAAACTGGAAGTAGCTGCTTTGCTGCCCAGTCCTAAGGAAACTGGTTTCAAACCAGCTTCAGGCAACATAATATAATGTGTAAACAACACTTATATGATTAAACAGAATCATAAGTTGAAAAAAAGGCAATTTTGAGTTTATTAACTTTTGATCTGCTTCCTAACACCACTCGCAGGATTATGGGATCTCATACGCAGTGAAGGATCTGCTTTCTGGTATTATTGAGAGGCCTATACCATTATAGTACTAATTAATATTTTGAGTTTACTTTAATTTTTGTTTATTAAGTGTATTTCTATTGTTTTTTGTTTTACTTAAAATACTTCTATATAACCTTCATTTATTTTTTATTTATTTTTAGTTTCAGCAATTTTAGAACTTCACCTTAAACGGTAACATTTGTCATTTTTAGGTTTAAGTTTTTCCATGTAATATTTATATTACTTCTATATAACCTTCATTTATTTTTTATTTATTTTTAGTTTCAGCAATTTTAGAACTTCACCTTAAACCTATTACAGATAAGGTAACATTTGTCATTTTTAGGTTTAAGTTTTTCCATGTAATATTTATATTTTATTTCAGCTAACATGTATTGCCTGAGAAGGCGGTGAGTTGTCATGCTGCTATAAAGAGTGATTCTGAGCTGATGACTGCCCATTATTGTAAATCTTGAGGAGCAAAAATGTGTGCCTTTCATGCCATGACTGCTCTGTCCCAGCCCTCCTGTTTAGTCCCTCAACCATACAGGTGCCTTGACCTCTGTTTCTAGCCTTCATCTTAAAGCTGGTTGGGTCAGCAGGTGATGGTACACCCTTGCTTCTCTCCTCCATAACCTTTATATCATTCTCACTCCACAGTCTGGCTCTGTGTGTCCCAATGTCTTCACTTTTCTATAGACCTTTTCTGGTCAAATGTCTCGGTAGGCTGAAAGACTCTTGCAGAACTGCTCTTTTTGTTGACAGATATATCCAATCTATATATGTCTCGAAACTTATTGATGGCATTTCTATAAAATGGATGAGCATGAAAACAAACCTCATAAAATTTATTTTTAGCGTGCAGTCATGTCATGCTGCAGTAATATGGCGAGCCATTGGGTGGTGCTGTGACTCTATGAGCAAACAGTCCAGTAGCATATAAACATCAAGAA